GCGTCAGCGGCGCGTGCGAGGCCGCCGCCGCCGCCGCCGCCGCCGCCACAGCCGCCGCCATCTTCTTCCTGCTGTCGCCGTGGCGGGCGCCCGCGGAGGGCTCGGCGGAACGGGGCGCCGCGCCGGGCTCCATGCGTTCGGGTCGCGCGGCCGGGGACAGCAGGCGCCTCCTGCGGGACTCCGGGACGGTGCTGGGCGGGTCGGCGGCGGAGCCCGGGGGCAGCAGAGCCCGCTGCCCGCCGTCTGCCGGGAGCGCGGCCGCCCGCCCCGGGTCCCCGCAGCAGCCTCGGTGCCCCGAGTGCGTCGGCACCGCCCGCCCGGCCTTGGCGCGGCCGCGGTGACTCGGGCCCGGCTCTAGCTGCCCGTCCCCCTCGACTGTCGGCTCCGTGTGTCTGCTGATTTGGCTGCATCTGTCCTGCATATTTATGGTCGCCTGTCACTGTCACATTCCCTGGCCGTTGACAGTTTCCAAAGCACTTGGGCCAGAAGAAACTCGGGATTTGGGGAGTTCATAACAGGTGGAGGCGCTGAAGGGAGGCGACCCGCCCGGGACTCAGCCCGACGAGGCGGGAGCTCTAGGAGTTGCTGGCGACTCTGTCGGGAACAGTGTTGGGAGGTGGCCCGTGGCTGCCAGGGTGTCCTTGCTGTCAACTGCTGGACTCGGAGCGGGACCTGTGCCCCGCCCCGAGCACAGTGTGGAGGCCGCTCGCTTAAGGGTCCTGCAAGTGAAGGTGCTGGGGCTGGGGGACTTTAGTCACCCGCTTCTCACGTGATTGCTGCGCCCTCCAGCTAGGCGGACAGTGACTCCTCTTTCTCCAGAGCCAACTTTGGATCTTTCTCACCTGTGCTTTTGTAACCTTTTGATTAGCAAAAGCAAGACGAATTGTTCCCGGAACACTTAAGCTGCCTGGAAACTTACTTACAAGAAAAATCGAGCGTTAATTCATCAGGGACATCCTGAGGGTTTTGCTGTCGGGCCAGTTAACTGATTGCAAATTCTCCCCAAGTTTAAAACTAGGTGAGCTGCTTTGGGGAGCAGCCTGAGATCAGGGCTCGGTGGTCTGACAGCTGAGCAGGAGGCCCGGGTAAGGGATCATGGTGGACTTACAAAGCCTGGCAGGTAGGAGCTGACTTTCACCTTGGCGGGGACAGGAGGAACCAATCACTGCAGCCTTTGGAACCTCCTCATCCTCAGTGAAACAGGACAGCTCACAGGATTGCGTTCCTAAACTTTATTCCTAAGACCATTCCCCATAAAGTTCTGTTTGGGTCAGGTTGTTTGGGGTTAAAACTGAGCCTTACTGAACCAATTAAAAACATGCCGGAGTCAAATTACATAAATCATTTTGAAAATTAAGATACTGACAACCCTATGGTCTCTAAAGGTTCTTTCCTGCTCAATTTATATTACTCTTCTATCTTTAGTGTAAAATCATCTTCATCCTATTATGTACTGATTATCAAGAAGAAAGTGTTCTTTTATTGCTTGTTGATGTCAGTTTCTCTTTTATTGGCTTGTTGCTCCTTCCTTTAAGTCATGGGCTGGAAGGGACAGAATCTCATTTCCTCCACTAAAGCAGCCACTTGTACTAACGGGTTTTTCTCATTCTGTATGTCAGGCCTAGGGAAAGACATTGTGTTTTAAAGGCTATGGCTTTTTTTTTTTTTTTTCAAATAATCAGCAAGGCAAGGAGAGAAGTAACCATGCTCAGCCTAGGGACTGTAAGTGTTCTGATAAGTAAGAGGAACAAGGTAGAAACATGGGAAAGTTGAAGGGTTTGTAGCTGCTCTTCAATTAGATCGTTTCACCAGAACTGCATTATTTCACCTGATGTGTTGTGAAACTGCACAATCTCAAACCCACCCTGAAGTCATCAACTACTAAGATATGTTTTTGTTTTGGGTTTTTTTTGGTACCTGGGATCGAACTCGGGACCTTGTGCTTGCAAGGCAGGTGCCGGAACCACTGAGCTAAATCCCTGCCCCTAAGATGTATTTTTAAAACAAACACGAATATAATTTTTTCTGTTGACGCTGTCCACCTGTGTAAATAATGATAGTTACATATTTAGTTTGTTTACAGAAAATTGATTTTCTTAAGTTACTACAACCTATTGTACTTACTCAAGGTTCAGGAAAAGATACTTTCAAATATGTGTTCTGAATCTTCAAAATATTAAGTTATGGCTGAGGCAAGAAGATTACAAGTTTGAGGACAGCCTAGGCAACGTAGACCCTGTCTCAAAAAAAAGACAGAAAAATCAGCAAATCTCAGCGGAAGGTAAATAACAGCTAAAATATTATATCTTTATATCAATTATTAAAAGATGTAGGCTTAGATTTGTAGCACCGTCATTAAAAATAATAGGAGTGTTTTAAAAATATAGTAACCCTATTTATGAAAATTCAAATAGTATTCTATAATAATTTTATCTTAATTATAAGATAAGAACTAGATTTTGATGATAACAAGCTCTGGAAATTCAACTTTAAGGTAATTCTGCAAGCAACAAGCATATCATTGTACTACTGATTAGAAAAAGAAATACTCCATTGGTGGAAAATAATTTTAATAGATGAAAGTGATGAATATTGGATGTGAGTTTAGAATTGGGAAGTTGAGAAGTCTTGTGGTTATTATAGCCACTATGTGGCTACTGTGTCTTGAAGATTGCAAAACAAAATAACATTTTTAAAAAGAATGGAAAGTTGATGAATAGTATGCATAGTTTTTAAGAATAAATTGAACAACTTCATATTTTGTTACTCAAAAATCTAACAATTATGGTTGTGTGGACCAAAGTACCTTCATCTATTGCTTATGAACCAGAGATTCAGAGCATCAGATAACTACCCTTACAGAGCATATAAACGTCTACTGCTTAACGCCTAACCCAAATCATTATGGTCCACCATTTCATAAAATGATGTTTTAAAATTAGTGTTGTTTTTCAGTTTGCACATATTCTTTCCTTTCAGGAATAGCACAGCATGATGCAAAGAACCCTGGTCTTGTAGTTTCAGTCCTTGGGGAAGATACTGTCTTGGCCGCATACTTAACTGTGTGACTCTGGAAAGATATTCATTCTGGCCATCAGACCCTTCATTGGTAAATAATGCAATGTCTCTTCCATAACCAGAGTTAGAAAAAATACTGTTTCCTTTCTTCTTTCCCTTTTATGGTAACTTTGAATGCTTCCTTTTGTTTAGACTGAAGTTTTCATTTTTCAATTATAAAGCAACTTATTTCTTAACTGCATTTCTGGTGTATTCACCCCCCAAATGTTTGAAATTAGTTTCCTACATTTTTCCTGAGTACTGTAATTAAAACATCAAATGCTTTAATGAAAGAGCTGTGAGTCATGAAAACACCTAGATTCTCTTTGACTCTCCAACTAAAAAGTCTTTGAACACATGAGCTCAAGTGATCTCTTTCTCTTTCATTTTCCCAAAATGAGCATTGGATTAGACTCTAGTGGCCACTTCTAGCTCCAGAAGTTTATGCTCATCTATTCAAACTCCTTTTTAGATTCTCAAACTCCTGGATTAAGAACAGCTGTATAGGCCTGTTCTATCAAGATTTGAAGGAAAGCATGAAATCCTTAATTAGAGAGCTCTTTTGTAATTAGTTCTAAAATTTGAGTGCAGAGAATTGAAATGCTGTCACTGTATTGACAACCCATCAGAAGCATGTAAGTCTCTATGCAGCTTCTTTATGGTCTGTGCATTGGCTCTTTATCCTTTGGCCTGAAGGATTTTCACTCACCTGGTCTCCAAAGCTCCAGCTTTCACCTCAGGCCTCAGGGTTTCTGCATTGTGAGTAAGTTTCCCTGTTTGTACCAATGCATGCCTTTGTCTAAGAACATTGCCTGAAGGTGACAGTAAACAGCACTGGAAATAGTATTTGAGATGCTTACTGTAATACAGTCCATTTTGGTCATATAGTTGCAGACACTGAATAGAGTACAGTTTTGTTTATATCTGTATTTCTTAATTGAAAATGTATTTTGGCAGTCCATGATGTCTGTTTTCTGAACCATAAAAGCCACATGTCTAATTCATAAACTATAGTCCTGAATTTAATTTACTCACCATTTTATCTTCAAGGAGAAAAATACGATTTGAGGTTTTAAATAAATGTGAAATGCTTTGCCACAGAGATTCTAAAGAAATAAAATACACTGCTGGGCCCAGCACAAGCCTTCACACTGAATTTGTGTGAGTGTATTTCTCCTGGCTTTGGTAATAATATTTCTTATCTTTGGCAATCATCTCCCCCCCTCCCCTTTTAAAATATACTCATCATGTTTTATCTTTTCTGGGCTTCCTTCCATAGATTTCTGAAGGACACCGGCTCAGCTTATTTCACAGATTGAATAAAGTGCCTTTGGTTCTAATGTACCTGTTACAATTTAACTAAAATAGTCATGAGCAAAGTCTTATTTCTAAAAGCATTTCTCTGGCATGAGACTATGTGACTGAAACCATTATAAGTAGAATTTACAGAAAATTATACTTTGTTCAAAGGAATGTTTTATAAAGATATTTTGAGTGCCTAAAGGTGAGTTCTGTTTATATAAGAAGAATGTGTGGTCATAAATCCATGCTGTGCTGGCTAATAGGACATTTTTTTTCATAATCAGATACATGTTTATTTTATATTGGATTTTAAACTTCTGGAAAATTCCAAAATCCAAATGAAAAGGACCTTGGTGATGACTTAGCAAGCTCCTAATTCCAAGTTTCTCTCTTTGAAGAGAAAGAACGTTGTTCTTTTTTCATCACAAAAACAAAAAAGACATGTCAT